GGGGGGGGAGTTGGGTATGTGTCCTTTATTTAAATACCTAATTATAAGAGTTTTCTTACCCTCAAAATCCCGAAGATGTGCGATCCCATTCTAATAACTTTATTGGAATTGCAACATCAATTTAGTCAATCCAGTAGCGAAAATGCGACGCCATTCAGCAGCACATCCCCATAAGCATATCGTTAAGAAGTGCCCTCCCTCCCCTCCCTCCCCTCCTCGTTCATTTCCATTCGCTTGTTGATCGTGTCCATTCTCAAGAACAGGGCAAGTAGTACTAAAATTAAAATGATAGAAAGAACCGATGAGCTCTTTCTAAAAACATTTTCGGTACATTTAGCACGAGCTGTCTTTGTAGTGTTTATCATAGATATTCTCGCGACATTTAGGGTCTTCTGGTGCCTTTTTCCGCTGAAGATTTGCACTTCCCGTGTGACCACTATGGCTACATTTTCCTACTTATTTTTATCTTTTGTCGCGGCTAAGCTACTTGGAAACGTGATACGCTTAAACCGAGTGCAGGCCAGATACCTGCCAGTTGACATTAAATTCAGAGTAATTTTTTTAATATTTTCATTTAGACTCAAAGGGAGTTGTTGTATTGAACTTATTGTCGTGATGATTGATTGAAAAGGATAGCTGCGCTTTCCGTTGTCTACTGTGACCTGCCTTTTAAATTTTTTGCAATGAATCTCGAGTTAATTGATGTTACACAAAGAATGCGCGTCCAAATAGAGAATGAAGCTGAACAAAGACAAGGCGTTTTTAAGTATTTACATGGAGATGTTTTGAAGGGCCAGGATCATGTGGATTAAAGAGGATATTGATAAATTTCCCTTGTTAGGGTAAGAAAACAACAATAAACTTTCCTGCATGCAGCAACCGAGGTTTGGTAATACACATTTCTGTCAGTGTTAATGAGATAACAGTGAACAAGATTTGGAATTGAGCAGTGATATTCTTAATGAAAAATGTTTTTTTGTAATTCCTCACCCAAGAGCTCGTCTTCACAACCCCCTTCCCCTTTTATTTTACGGCAGACTCAAGGATCTTTCAAGTCTCTTACCCAGCCTTTTCACGGCCAAGTGGTTGGATGTTGGTACGAGTTAGGATCTCATATCATCGATGAAAAGAGGAAAAGTTGGAAAAGGCCTCAAAAATTCAAAATTTGAGAAACAGGATATAAAGAAAATAAGGAAAAGAATAATGAAATGTGCTTTCTCACTTACTCGTTGCATCCTTAGCTTTTAAGTCAACATCTTTTTTTTGTTAAGTTCGGTTGACAGAATTTCTCTATTTAGTTAATTTTACCCCTCTCACGATGGCTGTATATCTTAGGTTTTAGACAAACCTTAAAATGGTTGAGAATGAAAACAGAACTGAACCAGGTCCCGCAACTTTGTTTCTCGTGAGGATGGAGGGGTGTCAGTCGTCTTTAAAAGAGTTTGAAGAAGGCGCTATAGAAAGCGGACTGCCAATGAGAGACGAGCATTTCATTGTGACACAACAAGATTCTTCCAAATCCCCCTCCCCCGCCCCCACAGCTCACTTTACTTTCCCAACCCAACTCCCTTTCGGCGTTAAAAAAACGACCGGCTCCTTAGCTATTGGTTCCAGACCTTCCACAGGTTTGCGGGACCATAGGATGTCTAATCAATTAACGGCTTCTGTTTCCTATTATCTCGATTGACAGGTTGGTAGAAAACTCGAGCATAATCTAGATTTTTTAGACTTCGTTCAAGCTTTTTAAATTCAATGATTATACACCAAGAGATAATCTCTGGATGACTTTCATGAGTTGCTCAAGACTTCTTTGTCTTACGTGGGCTTTTTGCATTGGTTTCTTTTTATTCTTATGTTACAACATCAATTTAGTCATCGAATTATTTTCTTTATGCTTCTTTAAACAAACGCGTAGTGCTCGAGCTCGATATAACTTCAGCAATTTCGTGATGAAATAAACGATCAAAACAATTAAAATATCTTGCATATTATATTTCTGACATCACTAAACAATCATCAGTGGATACTTCACATTTCCTGAAAAAGATGAATTGTGAGTTCGACCTAAAATCATTCCATTGGATACAATTTTCTCGAAAAGCTCTTATAGCATTTAGATTGTTTTCGGTGAGTATCTTAAGATATTAAAGCTTATAGCGTTGCGGCTGGGGTGATGGTCAAGTTATTTCATATCTACTCGGAGAGGAAAAAAGATGCGCGATTACTGACCACTTTAAGATATTCCTCAAACTTGGATTACAATGTGACATTAAATGAATAATTTCATCCTCTTAAAATTTCTTCGGATCTAAACTGAGTTAATTTGAAAAACGAAGGGCTGATTAATTTTAACGGATCCATGAATTTAACGAGTAGGACCGGGATGGATGTTTGAGCACCATGACCAATCATCAGTCTCATGGGTTCCGAGGTGAACAAAAGAAGCATCGCCAGTTTCTGTGATTCCAATTCCATGATCTGCACGTGCACAGCTTCCTCTCTTGACATTAAATTAATAATTTCATTCTCTGCAAAGTTCTTTAGCTCTAAACTAAGTTTGAAAAATGAAGAGCTGACTATTTTTAACGGATCCATAAGTTCAACGAGTAGAACTGGGATTGAGCGGTGTCTTTTTTAGCATTAGAACCAAAGTCATATTCAGACGCTCTGCCACCCTTTTCAACAAAAGAAGCAGCGTCAGTTTCTGTGATTCCAATCCCATGGTCTGCACGTGCACAGCTTCTTCCTCCTCCCCCAATCATCATCACTGATCCATCACCATCATCCCAGTCACACCAGAAGCCGATCTTGTCTGCACTTTGGATGTTTCCACTGCACTCAGCCTGTTGAAACCCATCTGTTGATTTGTATTGTCCACCATATTGAACCGTGCAACTTCCCAGACACTGATCACTGGCCCAGACTTTACCATTTCTAAAGTCGCCATAGCTACTGATTTTTGATCGGAATGTTTGTCCATCCAAACAGTTTCCTGTGGTCTGTAACAAAGGGGTGTGGCTGAGGTCGTCACTGCGCGTGATCTTTATTTCTCTTCCGCAGACCGACCAAAAGGCTGGCGAGATCATATCTTTGTTCTCTAAGGTGTTGTTTGTCACTCCATTTGCAATTTGCTGGTCATACCACCATTTTCCATCGTCACGCATCCAATTATTACTATCGCTGTTCGAGAATCGAGCTATGAGAGTCCAGCCGTTGTAGTCTGCAATGAAAGGACATTTCTCTCCTTTTCTGTTTTTGAAAACAAATTCAGGACAGTTTAAAATTATTTCTTCGTCTTTCTGGCATTGAAAGTGCACCTAAACCCAATTTTTTTTTCACTTGACGAAATAAGCATATTTTTAGGAGTATTTCTGTGCAATTTTTTTTTTTTTATTTGCTCAAATCTTCATTTTTCTGTGCCCAGTCAAAGTACGGAAAAATCGGCCGCCATCTTGGTTCACGACCGAGTTTGAAGAAGAATGGTTCTGGCGGGTAAAGTGACGTGAAAACGAAAACACGATAGTCTGCATTTCACACATTTTCGCTTGTTTGGGAAGGTTGTCGTCGATATTGTCCGAAATATGCCGACTTGGTGTGTTGTATGAGGAATGTATGAAGCGCGATACCCTCTTGCAAATTTTGGACGTTGCTACATCCTCCTACAACACACTCAGTCGGCATATTTTCGGACAATCGACTACAATCTCCCTAAACAAGTGAAAATATGCGAAATGTAGACTTTTGTGTTCTCGATATGACGTCACATAAATATAAATATTTTAAATTATTATAAATTATAAATAATTTAGCAATGGACATCGACTGGGTGGCTCTTCTTGTCCACTGTTCCAGATCGAGTTGGAATTTGGAATGTTGGTGTTTTCGGAGGAAGGAAAACCGGAGGATCCGGAAAAAAGCCCTCGGAGCAAGGACGAGAACCAACAACAAACTCAACCCACATGTGACACCAGGTTTCGAGAATCGAACCCGGGCCACAGTGGTGGCAGGCGAGTGCTCTCATCCCTGCGCCATCCCTGCTCCCCATTATCCGCTTGAACTACTTCTCCTTAAACTCGGTCGCGAGCCAAGATGGCGACTGTTTTCTCTCATTTTGACTGGGCACAGAAAATCGAAGATTTGAGCAAATCAAAAAGTTTTTGCCAAGAAACACTGCAAAAACTACGCTTATTCCTTGAGCGAAAAAAAGTTTTTGGGCTTAGGTGCACTTTAATGAGCATATCGTAAAATATAGTTATCTTTTTCTTTTTCTAGCATTGAACGAATCTAGGAGAAATGGTCTCGCTCTTCTTCTCTTTTTCTTGGGCATGGCAGTAAAAAATGATATTTTTTTTCTAGTGACCACAGTGGAAAAATGATAACGGTGAGCCGTAAACTAGCCGAATTTTTTATCCGAAAGCCGTAGAAAACAAAAATAGTGGAGGAGGCATACTTTCGGTCTTACCGTTGGATGTCCGTCAGCCAGAAAGTTTGAAAATGTGTTGCTTTGATTGAACTTAGAATGCACTTCAATGAATTTTGTGGATTGATGTTGAGTTACACAAATATTTTACACCATTATCATCAAGGAGCGGAAAAGAAAACCTAAATTCGTACTCATCTCAGCTGCGAAAACGTGTTATAGGAGCGTTCAAATATCTTTGACCATACAGGATATCATTATCCCAAGGTTGATGTAGACTTCTGAAAGCAGCAAAGATATTGGCCTGAGTCAATGGATTTTAATATATGAAAATTATGCATGTGTTTTATGAATTGTATGAAAGAGTTCCTCGCAGTAATAAACCCTACTTATCTAGTAGGTGGAAATAAGGCCTATAAAAATCTTAAGGCCCGTATGGGATTTGGACCCACAACCTTTGCGATACCGTTGCATTGCTCTTGGCGAAGCACTGCTGGTGAAGCAGACAGTGATTTTTAGTTGTTGGAAAATGATATAACCTTGTTTTTTTTTTTAACCATACTTTTTGTTATTAATTGTTCTCGATCCTCGTTAAAGAATTTTTTTTAAGCTCTATACCGGAGGCCAAAAGCTTTTGACTTGGGATTTTTTTGATCAGTTAACCCGAGCCTATTTATTAAAGAAGAAATGATGAATTAAATTAAGCGAAACTCGTAGAGCGGAAATAACTAATAGCTTAATTAACAAACTGACTCTGAGTAGTGTGACTGACAGATTGAGAACAATGAAATAGAGCCCAACTTTATATTTACATTATATGTTTTATACATAATATGTTCGCCGTTTTCTATTCCCAGAAAATCCACTTTTACAGGAACAGCGAACAATGTACATGACAATGTACTAATAAAAACGAGTGCATTTTTTTTTTTTTATGTGACACAAGTGGAAAGTTATAACATAAGTGCAAATTCCAAACAGCGCGCGCGCTATCGAACTTCGCGTTGTGAAGGTAAACCCTATTTGTTCTTGATCTGTTAGTCACACTACTTAGAGTCACTATGTTAGTTAAGCTATAACTATTTACTCTCTCCGAATTTTTCATTCTTTTATTGGTAATTAGTTGCATAGTATATGGGGGTTTCAGAACAATTCTCCTCAGGGGGCTCAAAATAAAAAAAAAAAAATCTGATCTAAAAAATGTTCTCGAAAACTTTGAAAATACATCGAAAAAATTAAGATCAAATATCCAAAAATCCTGAAAAGTGAAAGCTATATTGAAAAATATTTTCAACAAAGTCGGAATCCAAAGACGCAGACTCACGAAAATTCAAAATGGCGGATCGAAAACCAGTTCAAACTGGTTCAAGCTTGTTTCTACTACTTGTTCCTAGAAAAACACTTAAAGAAAAAGCAGGTATATAAAATATGAGTATGGAGAGTCCCAGATCACAAAATTGAAATATTCTTAAAGAGAAATTGCATATAGAAAATATGGACAAAACATATCTACATATAATAGAGGTATGAATAGAAACGAATTACAGAATATGACAAAAGAACAGCTCATTTACATAATCATGGATTTGAGACCTGTTCCAAAATATCAACCTAAACCAACACCAAGTAAACTTAAATTCGCTCCATCGTTCAATTATGTTAAACAGATGGTTCAAGCTTATGAAGAAAACATTATTGAACCACCTCTAGAGTTTGGAGATGATTGTAAACCAGTGCTTAAGCCTGTTCCTCTATCAAGAACAAGAATTGATGAAACAGGTAAAACTTTAAAAGTGTATACAAAATCATATGAAATAAACATAAAAAATGATAACGATCCATTTATTCAAATGCAGAGCACAAGATTGGCTATTGGTAAATACATTGAGAAGAGATTGAATGAAATGAAAGGTTTCAAATTCGTAGAGGCATTAAAGGTAACTCTTGAAAAGTTCTCGATGCTTGATAATTTTGAAGGCGAACTTGTAAGTACAACAGCATATTTCAATAGTAAACCTCAGACAATGAATGAGACAGAAATAGTAGAATCTTTGCAATCAACAGATCTAGAGCAAAATATATTAAATCGAATTGCACAGTGGATTTCAGAGAGATCTAGTTGGCGTATTCGATCACTTGATAGTCACTACCTAAATACTGTTCTATATAATCCACAAAAAGGTTCATCTTATATTCAACTTCCACCAGAAAATGAATACCAATGCAATCCCAAATAACATGGAAAAGTATATGGCTTTCATGCATGGGAATCATTTTACTTTCATTGATAGATTTCAATTCATGTGCTCAAGTCTTGATAAAATAGTCAATGATATTCCCAAAGAGGCTTTTAAATACACATCAGAGAAATTTAAGAATAAAAAATTCGATCTTATTACTCAAAAAGGCGTTTATCCTTACGATTACATGGACAAGTTTGATAAATCTGATAAAACAGAACTGCCAACCAAAGATGAATTTTACAGCATATTAAACAACGAACATATCTCAGATGATAAATATAAACATGCTCAAAATGTATGGAATTTCTCAAAATCTAAGTTAAAAATAATGGGTGATTATCATGTTCTTTACCCTAAGTCTGACATATTGTTGTTAGCTGATGTGTTTGAGAATTTCAGGCAAATTTGTCTTCAATATTAAAAACTCGATCCTTGCCATTATTTCACAAGTCCTGGGTTATCTTGGAATGCTTTGCTAAAACTGACTGGCATTAAACTTGAATTAATGACTGACATGTCTCAATTCATTGAAAAAGGTTTGAGAGGAGGTACTAGTTATATTGCGAATCGATATGGAAAAGCGAGTAACAAATTCATGAAAGATTATAATGAGGATGAACTTTCGAAATATATGATGTACCTCGGTGCCAATAATGTATACAGCTGGGCTATGTCACAGTAACTTCCAACTGGAAGATTCAAATGGCTTTCACAAAAACAGCTGTATAAGACAAACCTTGGAGTTTATACTGAAGAAAGTAAAAAGGGATTAATATTAGAAGTCGATGTTGAATACCCAGACGAATTACATGATTTGCATAATGATTATCCGTTTGCACCGGAAAAGATCAAGGCCAAATACGGTCCTGTTAAAACGCAGACTGCAGACTGCATACTGTGCAGACTGTCATTTTTTTGTACTTTTCACTTTTTTTAAATGTGATTTTCACCTTTTCCTTGCTCTATTGAAAACGCTGGAACATGTACAGATTCCAGTTTTTGGACACCACATAACACAGTTTCATGAGGTTATTTCGAGCTCAGGTTACCTAGCAACAATTTGGCTCAGAGTTATCGAGCACGGGGTGAGTTGGATGTCGACGAGGGAAGGTTGTGTTTGCGTTTGCCCTTGCGTTGAGATAAATTTCAGCTTTGTCATATACTTTTGTTGACTCTTTGATTCTGCATTGAAGATGGAACCCAGTGACTGATTTAGAGGTAAGAAATGGGCTGCTTGGACGAAGCAATCAATTACCAGGATCTTCACAACACGACCTAAAGAAACAGGCTTGTAGGGATGAACTTGTAGTTTACTTGTCTTTTTCCTCCCACAATATATATATTTATATATGCTGAAATAAATGAAAAACGAAAGAGTTCTTTTTCTTTTCTTTCTCTTTGCTTTTGCGCTACGCGTTTCACCGCTGTTGCGGCTCTTCAGGCATAGCAAAGTGTGTTTATTGACTTATTACGTCACAGATGTAATTGTAATTACAATGGTTATTGTAATTCGAAGCACGCGCGAGCAATTAGCGTAATTTCAAATCATTAAGAACGGGTTTA